AGCAGGATTTAATGATGGATTCATCAAAGTTCAGGTAGAACTCGTCAACTGAGTACTCTACATACACGGATATATACATACTTTTGAAATTACATTGGGAGATATAGGACTGATAAGTAAACAAATAAACTACATTGAATTAGTCATACAGAAAGACAGGTGCGAATGTTTTCCAGGACATGTTCAAATAGATAAGGGTAGAGAGAGTATGAGAGATTGAAATTAAGATAAATTGCATTACGCTTCAATTACATTACTTAGATAAACAATTAGTCATTAGAGAATATAACAAGAATTGCAAACAGAGTAATATCAATACTAATAGTTATAATAATAATTATAGTGTTGAAGGATATCTTATCTAAGAATGGGTATCCTGAGAAGTTCATTAATAAATGCTCTAAAGAAAACAGCCCGCTGCAAAACAATCCAAGCAGTTCCGAAGAAACCTGTCTATATCAGTTTGCCGTTCAAAGGAGATGATGTACAGGAAGTAGTCAAACGAAGACTCGATAAAGCCATCAAGAGAGCTTATTATGCTGCAAAACTTGTTATCCTTAACACCACTAAGCGAGTGCTTCAACAATCTGGGAAAGACCAGTCGCCAATCCTCGACACTTCAAGCTGCGTATATCAATTTGAGTGTGTTTGTGGAAGCAAATACATAGGTCGTACGGAAAGGAGATTGTCTACTCGCATGATGGAGCATTTGCCAAAATGGTTGAAAACAGCTGAGTTCAAAGTGCCAAAATCCTCAATAACAAAGCATCTTGTGGATTACGGGCATGATATCGACGCAGTCAAGTCATTCACCATTGTCAGCAGACAAAGAAACAAGAAGATACTTGCAATTGCAGAGGCTTGTGCAATTCGAGTTTATAAACCAGGTCTGTGTTTACAAAAGGAGATGGTCGTGACTCTGAATCTACCATGGTATTACGTTTTACTTATTATTCTACCTCTTATTATTATTTTTATTATTATTATTCTCATTATTATCATTTTTGATTCATTTAAAATTATCCTTTATCAGTAGGATTATCTTTACTCACTTCAACGCTATTATTATTATTGTTATTATAACTATTACTATTGATATTACTCTGTTTGCAATTCTTGTTAAATTCTCTAATGACTGATTGATTATCTAAGTGATGTAATTGAAGCGTAATGCAATTTATCTTAATTTTGATCTCTCATACTCTCTCTCCCCTTATCTATTTGAACATGACCTGGAAAACATTCGCACCGGTCTCTCTGCATGACTAATTCAATGTATTTTTTTCACTTGTCAGTCTTATATCTCCCAATGTAATTTCGAAAGTATATATATCCGTGTATGTAGAGTATTCAGTTGACGAGTTCTACCGAAATTTGATGAATTCATTAAATCCTGCTTTATTAACCTGCTTTGCTGCTTGTTTTAAATTCGTATCGGGAAATAAATGTTTTCAGTTCTTGAAGAAAATTATTCTGATGCCCACTAGTGACTGGCTGCAAGACGAAGTTGACTGGAGTTCTAGTGAGAAGTCGCCACCAGTGAGTTCCATCAACAGGTCAGGAGTCAGGACAAATACTCACCGCAAATGACATTGGTTGGTGCCAGTCGTGTTAAAATCACGAAATCGTAGAAGTAGAAGAATTCATGGACTGAACATTGAATCAAATTGTAGTGGCTGAATGGTCTACGAGCTTGTCAAGTAACCAGAAGATTTCGGATTAGTGCCCCTGTACATGTGTGCGTACTACTGATGAGTCCCAAACTAGGACGAAACACCCTGGTGGTTTTCAGTGATTTTCTAACTGATATCAGTCCATAATCAAACTTGAAAAACATCAGATTCTTACAAAAAAAACAATATTGTTCGATTACGTGTGTTGTTCTATGTATGAATTGTCATGCCATGGGTGCACGTGACGAACACATGCTAAAAAATATTTTTTTTTTCATGTAAATATAAACAGCAGGGATGCTTGAATCCAAAATGTTGATATTTTGTCTACAATTTGTATACATACTTTTTATACTGTCTTGCGTATCCAGACAAGCATTATTCAATTCTGAAGTAGTGTCTATCAATAAAATGCACAAAAACACTGTGTTGTATTATTTCCCTTGGTCGGTGAACTTCGTCAGGGATCAATCACTGGCTGATAACAGTGTTGGTTTGCAGCAAAGATTCGAATGGTTACAGGTTCGATTACGAGTTGATATCAGTTAGACAACCACTAAGGACTATAGGCAGGAAGAAATGGAGATGGATTGGCTGGCCATACTCTGAGGAAACCATCAAGTGACATCACTAGACAGGCCATCACTCGAGTGGAACCCGAAAGGGAAGCGGCGAGTTGGTCGTCAGTGCAAGGGTGACTTGGAGAAGGTCATGTGAAAAGGAGATGAATACGTGTGGGCAGACTTGGAGCCAGGTAAAGATTCTAGCAGAGAACCGAACGCAATGGAGACGCGCAGCTGAAGCCCTATGTTCCTCTAGGAATTAAAGGAAACAATAATAATAATAAGGACTATTGGACAGCTGGTACGTCCTAGTTTGGAACTTATTGGCAGTACGCATCTACCCATTGAGCCTATGAATTCCAACTTCCATCAATTCGCAATATATATATATATATATATATAAGCTTCCAGCCAATTTCATAGGCCAATAACTGACCTCCTACCTGAAATTGGCTGGAGGTTTCACGATACATATGGGGAATTATCAGGAGCTGGGATTCATGGCCCACCGGAACAGGTGCCAGTGAATGAATAGTATACAAGCTCACCTAGTAACAAGAAGGTCCTACGTTCGAATACATGAGAGAGATTTGTGCTGTTGAAGAGCATCGAACTAGGATGAAACAACTGACTAGTAATCCTAGTGATTCTCTAAATGATGTCAACTTGCGATAAAACCTGTTATCGATTAAAAGTCAAGAGCTTCCGTATTGTGAATACAAACAGAAGCGAAGAATATTTCTACAGTAATTCAACTGGAGAAATCCAGCTGTTGATAGTAAACGATATGAAGAAAACCACGAGGTTGAGTGGTTATTGACATCTCCAAGTATCGTTTCGATGTTATTAAAAAACGATTTTTGATCATTGTCACATGGAAAGTTTTACTTGACGTAGATCGAATATATAATCAGAAGTACTTATTACATGTATCAAAGGCAACGTGAAGACGTGGGTAAATTGGCGATAAACACTTGACCTACATTCAGTAAACCCATGACGGCACTTAATTGAGCCTGAGTAGCTTAAGTTTTACTGAACGACCACTTGCAATTCCAAACAGTTGGAGCACCTATTGTGTAAAGGCAGCCAATAGTAACTGGCTATCCAAACCTCTGTAGATGGAAGTCGACCGAGTAAACCCACGAGCCCTCATACACACAACGAGTACGGCTCACCTAGTCTGATAGGTCTGTTCCAGGCAACTGTGTTCTAACAACAAATAAAAAGATCACACACCATCTTTAACGCCCTCATAGGTGTGTTTGATTCCCTTAGGCAGACCGTGCTACAACTCCCACTTCAAGGAGGTGGTTTGCATGGATTTTTGTTTTGATCACGAAGAATCCCAAACAAGGAAAGAACAACTGTCCAGTACTCCCTGCTGGATTTCAATGGTTCTCTCTAAATGACATCGATTTTTGATCAAAATTAAAATCGATCAACTCCTCCAAAAAAACAAAACCTGAAAATTAATCCGGTGCGCACTAGAGAGTACATGACTACATGATGAAGTTCCAGTGAGAAGTGAGGACCAGTGTGGCTCACCAACATGTTGGGCGCCAGCACAAATATTGACCGATGACATTGGCTGCCAGTCATGCTACATATCGGAAACTGAAGGAGGCTTGAATTAATGGGGCATTGGATTCCGACTCTGTGGCGGAATGGTCAAATGAGGTCCTGGATTTGATGCCTGGCAGTTGAGTCATAGGTGCGTACTGATGAAGAGTCCTCAACAAGCACGAAACAGCTGTCCAGTACTCCGTGCTGGTTTCTAATGGTTCTCCTAATGAAATCAGTTTGTGATCAAAAATGAAATCTCTCTACTTCAATCTTGGAGACTGGAAATACCACCACACACACATGAGACGGAGGGCTTAGACCCGTTGGGAAATTTTTCCTACACTTCATTCTTCATTCCATCTTCATATAAATCCTTTTGGTCGGCGTCAGTCCATGAAGAACTGGATTTTTCAAAACTTTTTCTTCTCTATTCTCAGCGTGGATTTTGTTACGAGAACTAAACATCAGTGTAAGAGAGAAATGATTGAAAAACAGGGAGCACTACTGGATGGACAGCTGCTTTTTGTTGTCATATGGAGCAATTTCGTAGTGTGCACCATTGACTCCTCGTGTGTCAAGTTGTGGTGAGGGCTGGCTGCAAGACAAAATTGTTGACAACAATTTGCGTCAGTATTACGTCTCGAATCGGGGTCATCAGAAAAACACTAGCAAAGCTTAACCTTGAGGAACTCACCAACCAATCAGAGCCGACTTAACGTGTGCAAATATTATTCGCAGATATATGACTTAACTCTCTGAGAAACAGTCACACGCATGACAGAATAACATTCGACAAGAAAATAACCAATCAAAAGACGTTGTTTCCCCACTAACAATAACAAACATAAAAATCTATAAATATCTGTTGATTTTCTCAATAAACAATCTGTTGCCTGGCCCTTGTCTTCTGTCGTTACAAAGTGATCCACAAAGGAAAACTCACTGGAGCCGCTGAAGTGAAGACATGAGTTACACATGGCTGCGTCTACCTACTATCACCGATGATATTCATATCTGTGATGGACTGCATCATACCATACAGAAAACTGTGCATAGGAAGCGGAAACACACAGGAATACCTTGGACCATCGCTAAGAAGACACTAGAACATTTCATACAAACTTGAAGACTTCAAGGCGAAAACCAACAAGCTGGTCGAAGCAGCAGCAGCAGCAAAGACACGGCTTCAAGTGAACACAGAGAAGACGGAGGTGATAAAGATAACCAACCAGCACTAAACACTATCGGTAAAAGAAATCTGAAAGAGGCCTCCTCCTTCACTTTATCTAGGCAGCACTGTCTCAACTACAGGACCATTGTAGCGACGAGGATGTCAAAACCAGTCAGAATCGGAAGCGTGAGACAGCTTGGAAATCTTCTGCACTCCGTTAGATTTAGATACTTGGCTTACGCATGGCGGAAGGCATTTCAGACAGGCTACTGTGGCAGACTTTTATCAACTGCTACCTTCGCCAGTTCTATACTGAGGATGGAATAGCCAGTCAGAAAAAATTAGTATCAAGAAACTATGGGAACGAACTAATTAGGAATCTATTGCGCAACAAATATGTAAAAGAAAATGGAGGTAGATCGCAGGGGCACACTGAGGAGGCCGTCTAATGATATCGCTCGCCAGGCCATCACTCGGGTGAAAACCGAACGGGAAACAACAGGTTGGGTATTGATCCTAGGGTGAAATGGAGCAGATGACAGACCATGAACAAACAAGGATATGTGCTGTTGAAGCCGGCTCTATGTCCCACTCGCCATAAAGGATTGGTCCCAAAACCTTTCGAGTATTGGGACGACGCTCGCTGACCAGTCAGTTAGTCAGCTAGTTGAATCCGAATTTAGTGACCTATGAATTCGGTCGGTCGGTTTTCGACATAGAACTTTGCACATATGTGCGGCAGTTCAAGTAGCCACACTCCCTCCATGTAGCATACAAATCAAGAGAAGAAAGTAGGAGAAATGCATATTAGAGACAGTAAACAGAGGTGTGAGACAAAGGAATAGTAATAACAAAGAACAAAACAGTTTAATTGGAAATCATAAGTCACAAGGAGTGGATGCATCTGCACCAGCCATTGACAACGATTTTGACCCATATCACCAATTGTTTCCAACCATTGGTTTTTACCGTCCCGAGGACCCCAACCAGGAAGTCTACATCTCCCTACGTGGCTTAGACTAACTGTTGTGGATTTCATTGACTAGTGCAATGTTTTCGTTTGACCGCCGCTAGCTCTTTTCCAGCCTGACCCTATGTCAGCTAACATTGCCCGTCGAGGAAGGCGATGACTAGGCTACCAAGCGTAACACATGTCCTAAGCATCTCAATCGATGTAGCTTCACAGCCTCGTCTATTGATTTCCCCTCCTTACCCATAACTCGACACCTAACCTCAATATTGCTCAACTTATTATACCACTTCACACGGGAGGTAGTACGCAGGCACCTGTGATCAAAGACAGCTAATCTTTTCATTTCTTCCACTCTCAGTGGCCAGATCTCACAGCCATAAAGGAGGACGGAGCGGACTGACGAGCAGTACACACGCCCTTTGGTCGATAGCCAGCCGGATATCACGTCTACGCCAGAGACGGCGTAAACTGGCATGAATTCGTGATTTAGCAAGACCACACCACAGCCTAACCAGTGCCTTCAATAAGCACCCAGTTTCTCTTCCCCTTCTTTCTCTTCTGCTTATATTATACTGATAAAGTAATTTTTTAAAAAGTAAACCAAAATTATTTATGTATATTTATAATAATAATGATAATAATAATAGTAATAAATAGCATAGAAGTAAATGTCTACATACACGCAACAACCGGTTCCCAAACAACCACACACACACAAGTACTACATATCATAACAAAAAGCATATTGTAACACAACTTATTACAGTGAACGAAAAAGGGGAAAGTTGAAAATTAAAGAACAAAAGAAAAAACACGGAGAGAAGAAGAAAAAGGGAAGAGACATTAAAAACCAGTAGTCACAAACACAGTTGGGGCCAGCGGCGCGGGCGGGGGTTGGATTTGGTAAGTGAGGTAAGGTCGAGTCGAGAGGAGCGGAGCAGAGCGGAACAAAGCCGGATGGGTTGGCGTGGGATGTGATGGACGTGAAAAGGAGAAAAGTAAACTAAATACACCTCAATACGGAAGAAATAATTAGTAGTAGAAGTACAATATATGGATAGAAATAATACAAATTTGCACATTATATGTATATATGTATGTATATGAGTGAATGACTACCGCCTACCAACAGAACAAGAGGACGAAGACAGGAGCATTTACTGTTATCAACTGATATGATAGATTTTTAAAGAAAAAATGTATTTATTATTACAATAAAAGTGAAATAAAACAATGATGTTTCTAATCAATTAACCCTTGGAACGATCAGTAGCCTGTATAATGTTATCACTGTTGTTAATAGTATTACTATTACTATTATTATTAGTAGCATTATTATTATTATTCAATGCAGATTTTTTATTTCGACCAAATGGCCCAGGTTCATCATGATATAAATGCACTTGACGATTTAAACAATCAGTAATTGCTTGCCTAAAAATAAGAAATTGAAAAAAGAGAAAATGATTTGCAAGAAATTGTAAAATCGAAACGATCAGATTACTAAAAAGTCAATAACAAAAACAGCTGCAAAGACAAATAGATGGATGGGCAGCAGTTCACTCTGTCCTCTCGAGTATGCAGACGATATCATATCTTATTGTGTGATAGCTAGCAGGCTACCCGAATCGCGCCTAATCAGTTGGTAAGTGCTTTGCGCTTTTTGTGACTGCTTATGTAGGTGTGACAAACGAGATTTCTAGACCTATAATAAAAGCTGGGGTGCTATACGAAAATCTGGGACATATATGGAGCCGCTGCGATGTTAACCTGGATGTCAAAGATCGGATTAACAATGTTTCTTCGGTGCATGCAGTCTTGCTCTATGTCTATGGAGAAGCCTGGTGTCTCACAGTGCGATGAGGATGTGTGGCGATTCTGAGTATTCCATCATCGCTGCCTCCGTACAATTGCTTGCATTTTATGGCATCATCGTGTGAGTAATTCTAAGGTCCGGAAGCGTGTGTTTGCACACATTGGAAACCAACATTCATTGAGTGTCGTCACCTGGAAACACCGACTCCGAAAGCTTCGACAAGTGCTACAAATGTCATCTCATAGGGTTACGTACCGACCTGGGTTACTTCAGAAAGATTCTGTTACACTATGAAGGGCACTAAATGCCGCCAGTAGGGTGAGTGGGGCGTCGCCAAACCAACTCGTTAATAGTCTTGCAGATAGACGCATGGACTCATTCAAGAATTTAGCGAATATTATCTTGTTAAACCCTGAGCATCCTCTCTATACACAAATCTCCCCTCTTGCAACTCATCAGGTAGAACTAGAGGCAACTATAGAAGACTGTATACACGGTTGACTACATATAAAAACTCCACAATACCTTATTTAACTGGGAGACATATTATGTGACGAGAAAAGTGTAAAGCACGACACTATTAAATTACTGCGAAAAATCCTTCAAAATAATATACAAGGACACTGTAAAACAATAAGTTAACGACCCTTCTTATTCTTTCTTTCATTATTATATTTTTTGATAGATTGGAGGATTGCACCCTGAGCTGACATCAGTTAGACGACTATTGGAAAACCAGCTATTAGTACTGCCAAACAGCTGCTTCGCCCTAGTTTGGGACTCTTCAGTAGTAAGCACTCGCTGGAGTTCGAGTGTACTGGGTGCGTACTGATGAAGAGTCCCAAACCGGAACGAAGCAGCCGTTTGTCAGTACTAATAGCTGGTTTTCCAATGGTCCTCTAACTGATGCCAGCTCAGGATGAAACCCTCCAATCAATCAAACACTATCCCTACAAAACCAATAGTCGATAATTACATTGTTGTAAATATTTCCACTTAAATTTAATTTTATGTTCATAAACATATTGAACAATATTATCTGTGTAAATGCCCAACTTTAATTATTGCCCCCTGTAATGAGAAAATTGGATGCAGTACTGTGCTACTTTAAGGGTGTCAGGAGACCCCTCAGCTAGTTCCCGAGGACTCGCAGGTGTAGGGATAGCTTTGAGTGTTAGGGCAGAAAAATCACTTCTTGACTGGATCCCAGTAGATAGTCATATGTGTGCGGTCCGTCTGAACGGGTCCGTTAGAAGAAGGAAGGATGGCGTTACCCGTCATTGTCTTTTCGTAGTCTCCGCTTACGCTTTATATGGTTTTACAAAGATGCACAATGTTGGTTTCTCTCTGCGTCCAGTCCTCGACATGTCAGATTCCCCTTATTGTAAAATGTCTAGCTGATCATTTGGAACCTATTAGGAAACATATATATGCGTATGTATCTGCTTTACGACATATTTCAGTAATCTCGTCGGAAATATATGAACGCATCCAACCAGTAAGCTCCATGATACCACGTTTGTATGGACTGCCTAAAATTCATAAAACAGGATTACCCCTCCGTCCTATCCTCGATATGGTGGGTTCTCCTTACCACAGAATCGCTCAATGGCTAGCTGAAATACTGGAACCCGTCAGAAGGCAAGTATATAAGTTTTCCATTGATGATACGTTTAAATTTATTGATTGCATTAATGATTTCAATGTCTCAGACAAAATCTTGTTCTCATTAGATGTAACGTCGCTTTTTACCAATGTTCCTCTCATGGAAACTGTTTGTTACTTATGTGATTATATTGATACACATAGTTTAGAAATGGGACTGACGACTATTTACCTCAAAGACCTTTTATTGAGATGCACGATGAATGTTTAGTTCACCTTCAATAATGAGATCTTTAGACAGAGAGACGGCATTGCCATGGGATCACCACTGGGTCCCTTGTTGGCTGACTGTTTTATGGCAAAGCTTGAAAATTCTCAACTTAGTCAAACCATCGGTCATTTTGACATTTATAAAAGATACGTAGACGACACTTTCGTTATCTGCGATAATAATGTAATTCTTGATGATATCTTGTTTGCTTTCAACAACTGCCATCCTTCTTTACAATTCACCGTAGAAAAGGAGTCCGAACTAATTATTCCCTTTCTTGATGTGTGCCTTAGCAGACGTAATGACGGATCTCTCAAAAGATCTATCCACCGGAAACGTACATGGAACGGACAACTAACTAATTTTACAGTTGGGTGCCTATTTCCAGGAAAAGGAACTTAATTCATTTGCTCTGCTCTAGGATAAGGAAAATTTGTAGTTCTGATTCCGTTGACTCAGAACTTGACTTCTTGAAAGCCACGCTCGCAGAAAACGGTTACCCTAACCGATTTATTGACAGCAACATGAAAGATAAGCAGTCTAAACTGGTCACCGACTCAGTTCCAAAGAAAACCTTATTCATGAACTTGGAATTCAAAGGTGATCAAGCTTCAGATATGCTCAAAAATCGTCTCTCTAAATCAGTCAGTAAGACGTTCTATGCAGCAAAATTACATATGACGTTCACTAGCCGCAAGTTGTTCTCTACCTCTGTAAAAGATAAGCTCCCCCGTCTGGCTGCCTCCATGTGCATCTATCAGTTCACCTGCTCTTGTGGAGCAAGGTACATTGGCCGTAGTCAGAGGACGCTTTCCACACGGATACGAGAACATATTCCAGCATGGTTTTACAAGGGAGAAAGGAAGTGTGTGCGAAGCTCTATTCTGGAACACCTGATCGACTTCTGTCACTCTGTCAACCGTGATCATGATTTTAAGATCATATATAGAATCCATGCTAACTTCCAGCGTTTTCTTCGTTACAGACTTCTAAAGACAGCTGAGGCCGTGACTATTCATGACTTTAAGCCAGACCTTTGTGTACAAAAGAAGTATGTACAATCCCTACTTCTGCCTTGGCCGTAGAGGGATTGACATTTATCTATTGATTTATTTATTTAGTTATTCTATGTACCTATCCCTCATTACTACGACTATTATTAATATTAATATTATTATTATTACTATTCTCCCTCTAAATCTTTTCCACTTGACATTTTAAACCAAAAATTATTAATTTTTATATTTTTATTTTTGCAATATTGAATTTTATCTTATCAAATTTCACACCATGTTATGTAACATTTTATATTCGTCTACTAATCTTATAATTATGTACCCGTTTTCAAAAATCTATACACCTTATGTATTATTCTATATACGACATTAAGCTATGATTATAATCACAAATATTTTAATTGCATTTCATACTACTATTATTATTATTTCATGTATTCACACCTTTGACCTAATTCCCTCACCGGATATAATTTCTTAAAAACCATATATGTATGCGATTGTAGAGCTTAATAATAAATTCATTGAAAAGAGTCTCTTCGCTGAATATTGTGTTCTTAACATTTCAATTTGTCGATTGCATAGAAGATATGAACTGCGCTCACAGTGAGCTCTGTCTGTCTACCTGTCTCTATCAACAATAAACTACTTTAAACCCAAAGTAAATTTTTAAAAAAACAAAACAAACAAGACAACGAAGAATAAAAACATAGTTTTCAAAAAAAAAATATTACCTAAAATCATTTGTCCAAATAGCATTGCGTACATAAGCACCAACATGACCGGATTGAGGTAATATCCGGATTTCAGCATTTGGATAGATTTTTGTCAGCGAGCATACACCATGCCGTGGTACATAGGCATCACATTCAGCAGCAACTGGTAGAACAAGTCGAGAGTCAAGAATTGGAGAGAAATTGCCTAAGTGAGTAAAAAAATCTAATAGATCACGTAAAAATTGTTGAACTTCAGGATCTGGCGGAGAACTAGCAGTACTCATCATTCGGCTGATATCTTCAGGTAGTGAACGAAATAATGATATACTATTATGCCATAATGATGAATTATCTAGGGGGTAACGTAGAAATGTATTCAAATTGATAGAGGACAATGAACTCGGTAGACCGATGGATCTGAAAACAGACAGCGAGAGAGACAGAGAGAAACAGGAATGATGATAACAGTTATTTCTGCCGAGATTAGTTAAATACGATACGCTACCAAAAAAATCGTCGACAAAATATATAGAAAAAAATTTGAAACCCAAAACGGTGACAGACGATTAAAGAAACAGTTTCAGAAAATGTGCTCCCAGTAAAACTCGAACTCTACATTCGTCGTTTCAAACGTCAAAGTAATATTCAGAGTTCGAAGCTCACTGGGAACATCATCATCACTCATTAGGTGGTTGGAGGCGATCAGCAGGAAGACTTACACTCTTAGGTTTAGTGTTTGTTGGCACTCCTCATCCACCAGCGAGGAGTATCCGCAATCATCAAGTAACTAATGTCCTTTCTGAAATTTGAAACCGTGTCACCCACGCCTGGCTGACTAATGAATGCCAAAAAGCACAAAACCTTAGTTCAAGGCTTCCTGTCTACTGCCTTCAGCCATTTAATAATAATTAATATTATTATAATATTATTGTTTCCTTTAATTACTAGAGGAACATTAGGATTCAGCCGTACGTCTCCATAGCGTTCGGTTCTCTGACAACATTTTCAGCCTGGCTACATGTTTGCCTACATGCTTTCATCTCCTCTTCACATGACCTCCTCCATGTCACCCTTGCACTGACGACCAACTCGCTGCTTTCCATTCAGGTTCCACTCGAGCGATGGCCTGGCGTGTGATGTCACTTGATGGTTTTCTCAGAGTATGACCGATCCACCTCCATTTCTTCCTGCATATTTGTTGCACAATCAGTTCCTGGTTGGTTCGCTTATTGCCAGAGATCCCCGTTGCTTATCTCTTCTGGCCATCTGATGTTGAGTAGTATTGAGCGAAGACAGCTGTTAATGTGAAGGTGTGTAGTTTGTTTGAGGTGCTCTTTATGACGCGCCAAGTCTCTGATCCGTATAATAAGTAGCACTGACTTCACATTGGAGTTGAAAATCCGGATCTTATTTTTGATGCTGAGTGTTGTTGACCTCCACACAGACTTGAGAGAAATGAAAGCTTGCCTTGCTTTCATGATCCTCGCTTTGATATCCTCATCAGTTCCGTCCGCTAGTAGTTGAAACGATGCTTCCCAGGTAGGTCGGTAGGTAGGTAGAGGAGGAGGTTGCTTCTTTCAGATTTCTCCCATCTATGCTGGCTGATTGTTGTCTGTTGTTGCTGTTGCTGTTTCAACCATCTAATAAAAGCAACTAATTAGAGTGCATCGTGACAGCGAGCCACCTAGTGGAATGGTGACCACATTGCAAACTTGACTCTGACAGAATTCAGTTTGTACCAAAAAAGGGTTAGATGGATAATACTAGTTACCCACTAATGTCCAGCCAAAACACCATCAGCAAAGACATCTTTTCGGCGATTTCATTTTCAAAAACAGCCGTATTGTAACACTTCTTTTAAACATAATTTTACACAGATACAATTATTATTATGATGATTTAATTCCACATAATACCGAAGGAGGAAGTTAAAGGTGATAATAATTTCCAAGTTGATATGAAAGTTCGAAAGTGTAAGTGAATACAGATTACGAGGGGCTTAGGCAAAAAATTACCCTCTCATCATCTCACTGGCTCACCCGTATCAGAAGAATTTACAGCACTGACTGCTTAGAAGAACAGTTCTTATTTCTCAAAATATCCTGGCTCAAAAAGGATAGCCAACACGTTTCGTGGAGAAGAACATGAAACGAAAATTGAAAATAGAGCAAGATGCACTTCAGTACCAAAAAAACATCATATATGAATCAGGACTTCAGGGTGATATCCTTAAGACAAGAATCTCTAGTTCCCCTAAAGAAAACCTTTCCTGCAGTAACAGTAAGAGTGATATTTTCTCCAGCTGCCCACTGCTTCTAAGCAATGTGAAGGACAAACTTCCGCATAAGACCACTCACCTGCTCGTGAGGAGCTAGGTACATGACTGACTCACTAACTGGTTTCAACATAGAACTTTGCACAAATGTGCAGCAGTTCGAGTTGTCACTCTCCCTCCATGTAGCTCACAAAGCAAGAGAAGACTGGAGAGATTCAAATGACTGATGACAAACGGAAGTGTGAGGCAAAAAGAATGGTAATAAGGAAAATCAATAGAATTTTATTGGATATTAAAAATCACGAAGAGTGAATTGAGAACGATTTTCAGCCATATCACCAATTGTCTCCAACCACTGGTTTCTACAATCCCGTGGACACCAACCAGGCAGCCAGTCTACACCTCTTCACGTGGATTAAACTAACTGTTGTGGATTTCATTGGCTGATGAGGCCATCTTTTCGTTTGACCACCACTAGCTCTTTGCCATCCTGATCTTATGTCAGTTAACACTGACTGTCGAGGAAGGCCATCGATGGCTAGGCTAGCATGCGTAACACATGTCCTAAACATCTCAATCGGTGTATCTTCGCAGCCTCGTCGATTGATTTCCCCTCACACCTACCTAGCACTCAACCGATGCCTAACCTCAATATTGCTCACCTTATTGTACAACTTAACACGGGAGATAGAACTTAGATACCTATAGTCAAAGACAACTAGATGGCCTTTTTAACGTCTTCCACTTTCAATGACCATGTGTCACTTACAGCCATAAAGAAGGACTAAACGAACTGCTGCTGAGCAGTACACACGTCCTTAGGTCGACACCCAGCCAGATATCGCGTCTACTAGACAGAGACTGTGTAAACTGGCATATGCTAAACAAGTCTTCTGTATCCTAGGTGAGATTTCGTCAACGATCAGCCCGTTGTCATTAGCTGACGCAACTCCCCGCCACCACATCACTACCTTTCTCTAAGCTAGGAGTCAATTTAGCCCAGTCTTGCTTTATTTTGTCGGCGTCTTCACCTAGGAGGGAGGACTATATCGTCTGCATATTCTAAGCCAAAGAGATTATTCCCAAGTAACAAGTCGACGGCACATAGGTCAATCTATGTCCATCTTTACGAAACGCGTTAAATAATAATACCCAGCATGGCTGCAAAGAGGAGGCACTGATTTACAATCAGAAACGCAATTGAACACCTCATCAACACACACCCGTCACAGTATCATTCAGAGTCATTTGCAAAGTAAAGAAAAATCTGACACCAAAGACAATGTGTTTCCGACCTTTTTGTATTGCAAAAATCGTCACCGTATGCATCGAAAAGCCGGAGCTATATATTCAAAATACAACTAGTCCCACCTGTACTTTTACCATAGATCTAGTTTGGATTGACTCTTTAGTTTTCGTTTTTCATTCCCATCAATATTTTTTTCTTTTCCAGTTAAAAAAAAACTATTATTCCAATTCGTTTCCATGCTCATCCCGTCCACATATGCCTTCGTTTGAAAAACTGCTTACTACTTTGTGCAACTGTGTTCGCTAATCCCATGTAATTTTGTTTCTAAGCCCCTTTTTGTAATCCATATTCACTTACACCTTCGAATTTTCATATCAAGTTGAAAATTATTATCACCTTTCATCTCCTTCTTCTTCTTCGTTATTATGGTGAACTAAATAATTCATAATTGTACCTGTGTAAACCTATTCTGCGTTCTATCTCTCGCGTAAGGTGGTTATAATAGGGTGATTAATATTTAGGTGAGGCTTCGGTTGAGTGTTGGTTAGGTGTGAGGAAGAAATCAACCGACGAGGTTGTCCGGTTACATCGATTGAGATGGCTAGGGGACATGTGTTACGCGTGTGCTAGCCTAGCCATGGATGGCTTTCCACGACAACGGGCAATATTAGCTGACTGACATAGGATGGATCGGGTTGGAAAAGAGTTAACGAGTGGTGGTCAAACGAAAACATGGTTTCATCACTCAATGAAATCCATAAGAGTTAGTTTAAGCCGGCCGCCACATAGGGAGGTGCAGACTGGAATGGCTGTCTAGTTGGGATTCTCGGGATGGTAAGAACCAATGATCGCTGGAGACAATTGACGATATGGCTCAAAATCGTCGTTGTCCGTGGTCACTCAGATGAATTCACTCTGCTGTTCTTCGATATTACTATTCAATTTCCCTCACTCACAATTCTGTTTATTATTTCACTTTTAATTGAATGTCTCTTTACTATCTTTTCGTGCTTTGTATGCTACATGGAGTGAGAGTGGCAAGTCGAAGTAGTCCACATGTGTGCAAAGTTCTATGTTGACACCGGTCAGTCAGTCACTCACTCACTCAATCAGTCGTGTAAACTCATGTATATAAATGTGATTGTACAGCTGTATTTAAGAATAAAATTTCCGAAAAGATATTTTTGCAGCTGAACATCTCGTTTTTTCTCTTCCTGATAACTGTCTGTCTGTTTCCGACATAGAACTTTGCACCGATGTGCAGCAGTTCAAGTCACCACACTCCATGTAGCATACAAAGCAAGAGGTGTGAAAAGAAATGCAAAATAGAGACAGTAAACAGAGGTGTGAGAAAAAGGAATAGTAATAACGAAGAACAATATAGTTTCACTGGAAATCATAAGTCACAAGGAGTGGATGCATCTGCGCCAGCCATTGAGAACGATTTTCAGCCATATCACCAATTGTTTCCAGCCTTCATTGGTTTTTACCGTCCCGAGGACCCCAACCGGTAAGGAAGTCTACACCTGTTTACGTGGTGAAACTAACTGTTGTGGATTTCGTGGGCTGATGAGGCAATGTTTTCGTTTGACCACCAATAGCTCTTTGCCATCATGATCATATGTCAGCTAACATTGCCGGTGGAAGAAGGCGATGGCTAGGTATACGTAACATATGTCCTAACCATCTCAGTTGGTGTATCTCTGCAGCCTAGTCTAATGATTCACCCTCCTTACCTTTCACTCGAGGCCTAACCTCAGTATTGCTTACCCTACTATGCCACTTCACACGAGAGGTAGAACGCAGACACCTATGATCAAAGACAGCTAGCCAGGCTTTCCATGTCTTCCAGTCTCAACGGCCAAGTCTGACTGATAGCCATAAAGGAGGACGGAGTGGACTGCTGAGCAGTACACACGCCCTATGGTTGATAGCCGGATATCGCGTGTACGCCAGAGACGGTGTAAACTGGCATAAGCGAAACTAGCCCTCTGTATCCGTGCTGAGATTGCATCAGAGATCAACCCGTTGGGGCTGATGGTATTTCCCAAGTAAGTGAAGCGGTCAACGTGCTCTACCACCACTTCACTTCCTATTTCTAAACTAGGAGTTGGTGTGGTCCAATCCTGTAACATCATTTTGCATTTGGCGGGAGCGAATCGCATAACAAACATTCTTAGATTGCAGCTCAAGATGTTCAGTAGACTCTGCATTTTGTCAGCGTTCTCGCCTAGAAGGACTATATCGTCTGCATATTCTTAGTCAACGAGATTATTCCCTGTTGGTAGCAAGTCAATCCCTGAGTCGCAGAAGTGTGTTAGGGTTAAGTCCATTAATACGTCTATGATGAAGTTGAATAGGAATGGGGATAGTGGGCATCACTGTCGGCCACCACTAGTTGTCACCACTTCAGATGACAACTCGCCGTAAGCTCTCAGCTGGCTGGCTACATCAGTTCGAGTAGAGTGAGTGCCTTTCTCGATCAGTGCAATGTATTTTCTCGATATTCCCTTTACAGCCAAGCATCGCCAGAGAACCTCTCCTTGATAACAAGTCAAATCAATAATTAGCCACATGTATAAACTAAAAAATCAATATCCTATTTCAGCCTACAGGAAATTCCCCTTATGACAAAATTTGCTAAAATAAGAATTTTTTTTAATTATAAAACACATTAACTTACATATTATTAGGAAGAAATCTTCGTGCAGCTAAGAGAGAGGCATATGCTGGATTCACAGAGGACGATGATGATGATTGGCGCGTAGTAGAAATGTTTATAGGTTGTGATGTAATCCTTTCATGCAGATGTATATTCGAATCAGATGATGAGTTGACAGAGTGTGCTTTCGTATGATTAATTACATGGACATGCGTATCTGATGTTTGTTCTGATGACGCTGTACTAAGTAGATGATCCATTTCCATAGATGCGGACTGTTTAACATTTGAAGTATTTGATAAATTTTGTGATTTTAATGCACTTCTTATGAGATCTTCTAAAGAATGAAAGAAAAAAAAACACAAAACAATAAAAGATCCTTAAACATTGACTTAGCAAAAATCTCTGAAATCTTCAACGAGCATTTATAAGGAAAACATAGTACTACATAGGACATACGAACGCAATTGGGTGGCATGAAAGGATCCGACTCCGTGAGCTGAGTTGAACTGGGTACACTGCAGATGTACTCAGCGCTACACAAGTGAAACAGCCATCTTGGAGGTATTTAGATCACTTCGACCGAGAGGTACTCTGGCGATGTTTGGCTGTAAAGGGAATGCCGAGAAAATACACTTCACTGATCAAGGCAATCACTCTACTCGAACTCATGCAGCCAGCCAGTTGAGAGCTTACGGCGAGTTGTCATCTGAAGTGGTGACAACTAGTGGTGGCCGACAGGGATGCCCACTATCCTAATTTCTATTCAATGTCACCATAGATCTACTAATGGAATTAACCCTAACTCACTACAGCGGCTCAGGGATTGACTTGCTATCAGGGAATAATCTCGTTGACTTAGAATGTGCAGACGATATAGTCCTTCTAGGCGAGGACGCTGACAAAATGCAGAGTCTTCTCAACACCTTGAGCTGCAATCTTCGTATGTTTGGCATGCGATTAGCTCCCGCCAAATGCAGGATGATGTTACAGGACTGGCCTACATTGACTCCTAGCTTAGAGATAGAAGGTGAAGTGGTTGGTGGGGCGTGTTGGCCACTTTACTTATTTGGGAGGTGCATCAGCCAGTGCCAACAAGTTTGATCGCTTACGGAATTTCAGCTCGGATACAGAGGGCTCGTTTTGCACATGCCAGTTTACGCTGTCTCTGGCGTAGACGTGATATCCGACTGAGTGTCGACCAGAGGGTGTGTGTACTACTCCGCAATCCGCTCCGTCCTTCTTTATGGTTATCAGTGAGACCTGGCCATTGAAGGTGGAAGACATGAAAAGCCTGGCTAGCTGTCTTTGATCATAGATGCCTGTGTTCCATCTCCCGTGTGAAGTGGTATAATAGGGTGAGCAATATCGAGGTTAGGTGTCGAGTGCTAGGTAAGGAGGGAAAATCAATCAACGAGGTTGTGAAGTTACGTCGACTGAGATGGATGGGACATGTTTTACGCATGTCTAGCCATCGCCTTCCTCGACAACGGGCAATGTTAGCTGACTGACGTAGGATGAATCAGGTTGGAAAAGAGGTAGTGGTGGTCAAACCAAAACATGGCACCAGTCAATGAAATCCACAACAGTTAGTCTAAGCCACGTAAAGAGATGTTGACTCCCTGGTTAGGGTCCTCGGGACGGTAAACACCAAAGAAGGCTGGAGACAATTGGTGATATGGCTCAAAAATCGTCGTTGTCAGTGGTGTAGATGCATCCACTCCTTGTGACTTATAATTTCCAATGAAACTATATTGTTCTTCGTTTTTACTATTCCTTTTGTCTCACATCCCTGTTTACTGTCTCTATTATGCATTTCTCCTACTTTCTTCTCTTGCTTTGTGTGCTACATGGAGTGTGGCAACCTGAACTGCTGCAAATCAGTGCAAAGTTCTTTGTCGAAAACAGACAGAATAAAACTGCAACGTATAATAAACAGGAAGATTGGATGAAAAAATAGTAGAATCATAATTACTGAGAAAACTGACATTTTGTGCAATCGGGGTTTAAAAATGGACAGGCAGTTCGGATAAAAAACGTAGCAGTGCAGATAGGAATTAAAAAACGTAAAAATAACGGCAATAAACAGGAGGATTGGATACGAAAAGTGATAGGATAATCACTATTGAGAGAATTGACTGCTTATGATGATCACGGTAGAGGCAACTGTTGAAGGTACTTTCGCTTGGATACATAACGTGGCAACAGCGATCCAAACGTTCCAGCCCACATCTGAGGGAAAAACCTTACTGTTATGACATCTCTATTCTCACTGACAGTACGACTTCACCACCCTCAGACCCCCCCAACACATAGTGTGAGTCACTTACGACACTAGGAAAGTAACAGCTTTCAGTCTAACTTCCAACTAACTAACCTTTCCAGTAGGAACATTAGTTTGAGCCAGTGTAGTTTGGTTGAGTCATTGTCGTACATCAGTCTGACCAACCGACATGTCAGCTACCGATCGAGTCAGCTGGTACGTCGCTGCCAAGATAGACTTTTATGAAGTGATCTGAAATTGTCCCCCAATAGCACAGAGATATATATTCACTGACTGTTATCTTCCAGATTCTGAAAGCTTTAGTCAATATCTCCCCCACCCCTCCAGTGTATGTTCGCCTATTCCAGTTTGATTACATTTCTTCCCTTTACTCTAGGTGTGCAGCAAACTGAACTGGTACAATTTTGTGGAAATTTCTACATTGAGAAATCGGTAAGTCCGAAAGAAATTAACATAAAATTATATACTACTGATTAGTTGAGATAAGTAGTTGTAACATACCACTCATATCAACAACGAGTAGTGGTCGCCAACTAGCCAAGTATCGAGGTGTGATCTAAATAACACCAGACGGCCGTTTCGCTCGTTTTCGGCCGAGCCCACCAGCAGTGTAACCGGGTGGTTACAACTGATTCAGCTCAAACTGGGTAACACACAGTTGATGAGCACGGCGCCAAACCAGCGAAACGGCACTGGTTGATATGATTGGCATGCTGCAACTACTCATCTCGCCAAATCAGTAGTATATAATTTTATGTAGATTTGCCCGCTTTCTTGATTACCACTCATGGTATCAAACGGAGCACATACCATGTGTGATCTGAATGATCCGGGTTTCCAAGTGAACCAACGGTGGAATTTCACCACCACTCAAACTGTATAAATTGCAACTTGTGAATTTAACATAAAATTGACACTTGCATATAGAAAAACGTTGAACGTATTTTTAGATATGTGAACTTATATGTCAATATTCAAATACGACAGCTAATACTTGTGCCAAGAACACATGATATGACATACACACGTGAGTGCAAAATGACTGAGGACACGTGGAGTTTACAATTATTATTATGATTACTAATATAGTTTCCTTTAATTCCTAGAGGAACATAGGGATTCAGCCGTGCGTCTCCATTGCGTTCGGTTATCTGCTAGAGTCTTCACCTGGCTCCAAGTCTGCCCACACGTTTTCATCTCCTCTTCACATCACCTCCTCCAAGTCATCCTTGCACTGACGACCAACTCGCCGCTTCCCGTTCGGGTTCCACTCGAACGATGGCTTGTCTAGTGATGTCACTTGATGGATTCCTAAGAGTATGGCCAGTCAATCCATCTCCATTTCTTCCTGCCTATTTGTTTCACAATCGGTTCCTGCTGTGTTGGTTCGCTCCCAGAGATCTCTGTTGGTGATCTTTTCTGGCCGGCTATCTGATCTTGAGTATTGAGCGAAGACAGCTGTTGATGAAGGTCTGTAGTTTATTTGAGATGCTCTTTATGACGCTCAGTGCAAGTCTCTGATCTGTATAGTGATTAGCACTGACTTCACATTGGAGTTGAAAATCCGGATCATATTTTTGATGCTGGGTGCTGTTGACCTCTACACAGACTTGAGAGTAGTGAAAGCTTGTCTTGCTTTTCCGATTCTCGCTTTGATATCCTCGTCAGTTCTGCCTGTAGTTGATACGATGCTTCCCAGGTAGGTAAAGGAGGTTGTTTCTTTAACCTTCCTTCCATTTATGCTGATTGTTGTCTGTTGTTGTTGCTGTTGGTGGTGGTGTTGCCCAGGAATCTTCATCACGTCTGTTTTCTCTATGTTCACCTGATGTCCTATCTTTGATGCTTCTTCTACCAACTTGTTGCTTTTCATTAGTATATCTTCCAGTTTGTGGGAAATCAGACAAATATCACCGGCGAAGTCCAGATTCTCCAAGTTTTTTGTGTGAATCCATTTTATGCCTGTTTCCTCATTGCCCGCTGTTTGTTGCATTATCCAGTCTCCTGCAATCAGGAAAATCATTGGCGTTTACAATTACAATTTGGGAAATATATTTTATTCAAGACATGTTTTTTTTATTTGACAAGATGTATGCTATCAGATTTGTTATGCGTGAAGTGACAACGGATATCTGAAACTATCTGAAATCGAAATGAATCATTGCTGTGAGGAAAGGGAGAATTAGTTTGAATGACCCAATGGTAGGATGCTCACTACTAGGCATGTAGAAGGCCCAGGTTCAATCTCCAATCGACGCACTACTACTACTACTAATCTAGTGTTCACTGATGAGTAACTGACAACACGTGGCCGTGTAAGGGCTTATGGGGAATTGTCATCTGAATTGATAACAACCAGTGGTGTCCGTCAAGGATGTCCACTTTCCCCTTTTCTGCTTAACTTCATCAGAGGTATGCTAATGGAAGTATCCTTAACTGAACTTAACGACTTAGGAATCGACTTTTTACCAGGGAATAGTTTTATGGACCTAGAATATGCAGATGACGTAGTCCTGTTAGGGGAGGGCGCTGACAAAATGCAGAGTCTTCTGAACACCTTGAGCAGCAATCTTCGTATGTGTGGCATGCGATTCGCCCCTGTGAAATGTAAGATGCTGCTACAGGACTGGACTACGTCAACTCCAAGCTTAGTGATAGGGAGTGAAGTGATAGAACATGTTGACCACTTCACCTATTTGGGAAGTTGTATCAGCATCAACGGATTGATTGGTGACGAAATCTCAACACGGTTCAAAAAGCTCGGGCTGCTTTCGCTAAATTACACCGTCTCTGGCGTAGGCGTGACATCCGGCTATCAACCAAGGGACGTGTGTACTGCTCAGCAGTTCGCTCCGTCCTTCTCTATGGCTCTGAAACATGGCCAATACGAGTTGTAGACATGAAAAGGTTGACTGTTTTTGATCATAGACATCTACGATCTCTTTCTCACGTTAGGTGGTATAATAAGGTAAGTAATGTTGACGTTAGGCGTAGAGTGTTGGGCAAAGAGGGAAAATCAATCGACGAGGCTATAAAGTTACATAGATTCAGGTGGCTAGGTCA